TTAGATCTTTCCTAGTTCACCATCTCAAATCCTTTCTAGCATTTTGTTTATCATTACATCAAGAATTGCTGGTGACCTTTGAAATGTTCTTTTTAACATATTGGAGTAGGTGGATATTTGAAAGCTAGGCAGGGGGTAGTGCTTTATAGTTGCATGCTTGCTATTCCTACTAATTAGTGATAAATGTCCTCTAGTTTTATCTTGTTTGTTTTAAGACATGGAAGATAATAGATTTATTAACCGTTACAACCTTGCTAGGCTATGCTGTTTTAGCCAAAACAATACATTTAAAAACCTCAAAGGCTAGATAATAACTTGTCACTCAGGTCTTGCTTCTTGAATATTATCTGACTGAAAAAGGTAAAACCTAGGAATGGTACAACTAGTGTGGGCTGCATAATGGGTGCCTGTTTTTTGTTACTAGTGAGTGTGCGTTGTGATCTGACAAAGCATGTGCTTAACATTGAGCCAGCAGGGATTACTCATGTGCTGCAGAGCATTAAGAAGTCACTTTCTCCTTACAGCACTACCAAGACTTGACTAGAAAAAGACTAGGTTAAAAAAAAAAGGACCCTTATTTTCATGAAAAACATGTGTGAACACAGGTGTGTAAGCACTGTGAAAACTGTTGTGAAACCTGAGTCAGGGGAACTGTATTGCATTTATGAAGGCAAAAAATGACAATATATATGTAATGGTCCTGAAGCAAACGATTTAAAGTAAAAGTCCAAAGGGTCTAGTGCTCTTCTGCTTTCAGGTTTCAAGCTGATCAGCTTCTTAAAATGTGGAATGAGTTGGAAATAGATCTATTGAAAGAAAAAATCAGGACTTTGTGATTTTTCTGTTTAAGAGTTAATAGATTCAAAATAATCTCCTGACAGTATTCTAATTTTCTGACTAACCTACTGGCTCAGTGCTTTGTCCATCTAATTCCCAGTCTTGTCCCTGGGCTGGTTTGCTTGCTAGTGTGCCTCAAGAGGAAGACATTAGTAGTCAGGCTAAATACAAAAATTTAGGTTTTGGTCTTTGATTTATTTTAGGAAATGTTTTCTTAGGAGACGATGGTGTCCAGAGGTTGAGAAGAAGAAGGAGCAAAGTGGAAGGGCAGGGAAAGGTGAAGAAAGGTCACCTCAACCTTTCCTTCCCTCAAAAGCTAGATTTAATAGCTAACAGCTTTCTGGTTCATTAAAATGTGATGCCCAAGGTGTGTCAAGGTGAGAATGTGCTCTCTGTGGATCCTGCAGTAGTGCTCATGCACAGAGAACACTCTTGATCCCTGCCTCCTTTTCAACTTCTTTCTAGCTTGGGATTCAGAGTCCAGTGAACCTACCACAGAAATCCCAGGCACTGGACACTGGGCTCTCATCCTGTGCCTCTTTTTTCTACTGTTGGTGCTTTTATGTCGTTCCTGGTTGAGCTGCCCCAAGGAAAGCTGGGCTTTTTGGATCCAGGATCAAGGCCTAGGAAAATTGTCTCTCAGCTTGATCTCGGGGCATCAGATTACTGGGACAGCCAATCCTGAACACTTCTTGGACTCTTTAAGTTATCTAAATGTGGCAGAGAGGTGGGGGTGGGAGGGAACAGTCCTTCCTGATGATCAGGAAAAACTGAATCATTTGGAATGCTTCTGAGGTGAGTCTACTTTTGCAGTTCTTTAGCATCTTTCTTTGTTTAACCCTTTACTAATCCAGTTTGACGTGGTAGAGCAAAAAGAGATAAGTGGCTTAAATTATATATAGTTTTAGCTAAGTCTTTGTATTTTCTTCAGGCTGACAGTACCTCCTGTTGTTATTCAAGTAACTATTATTTAGGACAGAAACTTCACAGTGTAACTGAGTTTATTTTTAAATATCCCTTTCATGCTAGATGCCTGCTGTCTCTTACACTAAAACCAGCCCTCAGTCAGAATGCATCTTTCATCCCTTACTCAGCTGCATTTTTACTTTTATTGGTTTTCACCCACTTAGTTTGAAAGCAGAGACCTTTTAGTACTGTTAAATTTTGCACCTGCTGACTCACATAGCATATGCAGCTGTTTTGGAAATAATTGTTCAGTCAGAGTATTCTTTCTGTTGAGTTAGTGAATTAATTTGACTCCAGCATCCTGATCATGATTCACTACCTGTGTTTTTGCAGTACTCCAGCTTCTGCTGACTGATCTCTGACCATTAGAAACTCACAGCCTTTCATGGAAACCCACTGTGTTAGTGCTGCTTTGGTGCAATTCAGTTGCTACTGACTGATACAGTGCTACCAGTGACTCTTTATCTGATGTACTTGTGTGCACTGAAATAATGTTGTTACGCCTGTGAAATACCCTTTTATTTTAAGTGTTGTTTCAAGCTTGTATTACAAGGTCTGTTGCTACATTGCACCATGGAGTGTAACTTAGGGGCCACTATGCAATTTAGATTTTAAATGCAGCAGACTGTAAGCCTGGTTTCAGAAGGCTGGCTGCAATTTTTATGATAGAACTTTTATATAAGATGGTTGCATTTTGCCTGAAACTAAGGACAGCAAGATTTCTGTCAGTCTACTGATTTTCTGCTTCCCTATTACATACATAAGAGCCATGTCACACCCTGGTTATTTACAGCATGTGTGTGATGATTTTGGTTACATTTCAGAACTTAAAGCATGAAAATCTCTTGAGCAGGTGACCTGTAAGGAGTGCCCCAACACTATGGAAATGCTGTTCCATGAATAGAGTTCTGTTACTGAAGGAGCTGTACCCCAGAAACCTGGGTTGCTGCTGGGAGTCCCACTGCACTGCGCTTGAGCATTGCCAATATTCAGATAATTTCCTAGAATTATATTTACTGACACTTTTTAAAAAAAGTTTTACGTTATTCTCCTTGTGGTTGAGAAGATGATGTAAAAAACATCCTGTAAGTGCCTCGTAAAAACAGGACCAAAGCAAAGCAGTCCCTGCTCCAAACATGGTTACGTGAGCACATCAATCTTGGGAACAAAATCATCATTTTCCAGTGTTTGCTTTGGGCAACTGATTCAAGTGGTATATATTTTTTAGAGCAGAGCTCTGACTGGATTATAGGCATTGGATCTACATGGGATTTTGAGGAAAAAAATGCTGACAATAACTCAAGTGCTTGTTCTAGGATCTCTGACAATTTTCACTGAATTTATGTTTTGTCCTACAGGCTTTCTAACAGAAGATTACAGCATAACATGTCTAACTGTTCAGTATCAATGACATGGTAGTTGATATGATGAATGACTCAGGATTGTATAGAACATTCTTGCTCAGTGATATCAATTCTCCTTTCACCATTTTCTTTAGTGCTTCAAAACATGAGCTAGTGTAGCTCAGCTCTGTAGTTAACAGCTGCTTGTCCTGGTTTCCCTGCTTCAGTTAGGATTTTGTTCTTCACATAATGACTGTTACAGTAAATGACTTTTTTTTTATATGTATAAAACTGCTTTGTACTATATTTAGCTTATTCTCCATTGTGTAAGCAAATAAGTTCTGTTTAACTGCTCAGGTAAAATAGCTTTTTAAAGTATATAAAGTGACAACCTTTTATGGTGTAATAAATCAAATTAGTCAGAATTAGGGTACTTTTGTAATACCGGAAAAAGTGCTCATAGAAAGCTGTGAAAGGCTCTTATAGTTAGTGGGGTCTTTTTCTTGCTAGTAAATATTTGTAATTTTCCTCTTTAAAACAAGTACTTGGAGAATGCTAGGGCATCTCTACATTTTAACTTAGCAGGATTGCTTTAAAAATAACATACAAACATCTAAACCTTTTATTAGTTATTATTTCTGAGAGTGATAAATACCATTTCACTACTTGTGCTGAACAGATTTCATCATCTCTGGTTATTGGCCTGCATTCTGTTATCACTGATCCTAGCAATATGATGAAGTGGGAGCTTGGAAGCAAATCTTGTAGAGGATTCTGTGTTGGCAGGTTCCATGAGCTAATACAGCCATGGAGCCACATGCACTGAATGCTCTCTGCATGTGTTGCTACAAAATACTGTCCTTGATGATCTGCTTTCCAAAAGACAATCTCTGAGAGTCCATCAGTTCTCTCTGATGTACAAGATAAAGGGACCTGAAGGGTTTTTCATTTGCATTCTAGCTGCTCTGCAAATAGAAAGATAAGGAAGTTTATCACCCTTTTGTGCTATAACACTAACAGCATGACTTTCCATCATTGCTGCTAAGTATTAATTATTATTAATAGCTTGCAGGTTGAGGGAGGTGAATGATACCTCTCAGGACTCCTTAGACATCTTTTGTACCATGTCTAATTTCTCACCCACCCCCAGGCCAAGGAAGACAACTATACATTGGATTTTGTTACTAGGAAGGCTGTTGGAGGATGAAGCACAAGTCCTGTGAGGAGAGACTGAGGGAGCAGGGTTTCTTCAGGCTGGAAATGGGGAGGCTTTGAGGGGATCTAACAGCAGCCTTCCAGTGCCAGGCAGGTTATCAAGGAGATGGAGTTGGGCTTTTCACAGTGGTGCATGGCAGGAGGACTCAGGGTAATGGGTATAAGTTGAAACAGGGTTCAGAGTGAATATAGGTCCCATGAAGACAGTCAACTGTGGGAACAGTTTGACCAGAGAGGTTGTAGAGTCTCCATCCTTGATATTTTAAAGACCAAACTAAACTAAGCTCTGAGCTATCTAGTCTGACCTTATAGCTGGCCGTGCTTTGAGCAGGAGGTTGGACAAGAGCTTTCCTGAAGTCTTCTCCAATTATGATATAATGAAAACTGAAATATAAATAATAATAAAAGAAACATTGTCCATTCACTGTGTACTTTCAAGTTATCAACTGTTCGTCTTTGCTGAGGAAGAAGTGGTTGTAAAATGGTTTATACAGACAAACTCCATTTCCTTGCTGATACTTTAAGAAAAAGTGATTTCTCTATTTAAGTTTATATTTTAAAAGCATATGAAGACGGTTTCCATGTTATCAATCTGGTCAAACACAGATGTGAGCAGACTGTGCTTTTGCTCTTTGGCAGGCAAAAACTGGGATTTGACAGCAGCTTTGAGTGACTATGAGCAGCTCCGGCAGGTACACACGGCCAACTTGCCACAGGTGTTCAACGAGGGCAAGTACTACAAGCAGCAGGAGCCAGAGCAGCCCCCCCAGGTGACGAAGGCTGAGAGGCCTTGCCTGCAAAGGCAGGATGACATTGCCCAAGGTAAGAGCTCTTCTCCAGGGCTTTCGTGGACAAGCAGCTTTCTAGCATGTCTGCTTGCGAGTTGTGCTTGTCTGCAGGGGGCTGGAAGTCTTTTGCCAACAGCTAGCGTACTGTCTGTCACGATCCGTGACCTATTATATCTCCTTATTGGAGTGTATTAACTTATCAGGATTTGCTGAGAGATCCACACGTGGATATCGCCTCACACAGAGGATACAGGAACTTATGTCCTGACTTTTTCGAGTGAATAACTCGCTCAGTGCTTACTAATATTTCTAACAACAGCAAGGTTTATTGTGGGGAAAACAAAGCAATTTGGGGCAGGAGGTTCAAAAGGAGTGATTATAACACATTAAACATATATTGGTACACCTTAGTTACACACCTTATTTACTTATTTAAGTGAGGGGGGAGGGGTATGCCCGAATGGCTGGATTATATTTTCCCCTATAAGCTGGGGTAGCCGGAATTGTCTCACCACGCGGCAGTGCAGGTAGGATGAGCTGGGTAGCAAAGAGGCTGCAGGCACTCCAAGCGCAGGCCGCCCCCCCC